CTGAAAGAACCCAAGGACCATTTTAGGGGCTCATCACCAAGGTTACTTGATAGGTTTACACAAAGAGAGACTTGGTTTTAGTTTTGAATTCGTGGAGAACAGGGTCAAGGTGTGGAGTGACTTGATCATTCTTGGTGCATCTTTGGAAAATCAAGGCCACTATCTTCCTTTTAAAAAAATTAAAAAATATATATACATTTATTTGGCTGTTCCTTGTCTTAGTTGCAGCACATAGGATCTTCATTGCCACATGTGAGATCTTTAGTTTCCCAACCAGGGATCAAACCAGGGCCACCTGCAGTGGGAGCACGGAGTCTTAGCCACTGGACAGCCAGGAACGTCCCTTTCTTTCTTTGTTTCAATAAATTATTTTAAAATTTTAATTTTATTTATTTATTTATGGCTGGGCTGGGTCCTTGTTGCTATGTGCAGACTTTCTCTAGTTGTGGCTCTGGGGCTTCTCATTGCAGTGGCTTCTCTTGTTGTGGAGCATGGGCTCTAGGCACTCTGGCTTCAGTCGTTGCAGCTCGTGGAGTTAGTTGTCCCTTGGAATGTGGAATCTTCCTGAACCAGGGATCGAACTCCTGTCCCCAGCATTAGCAAGTGGATTCTTAAACACTGAACCATCAGGGAAGTCCAGGTCCATTATCTTTCTTTAAAAAAGTGAATGGTCAAGAGATTGAACAGAGGATTGATTTTAGAAAAGCAATTTGAGCACAGAAAGTCCTGGAGGAAAATGTGGAAGGATAGCTGATAGAAACGTGACAAACTTTTTGTATAGGAATCCTAAAACCTGTGTTTACTTGCTGGCTGAAAGAATGGTAATCCACCTTGGCTCCAAAAAGATATCTGAGCAGCTTATGAATATGTGAGGTGTACAAAAAGATGATAGAGGGAAATAGATTAAATTGAAAGGAATTGAGTATAGCACTGAGGTGAACCAGCATACTGAAATGAATTTCAGAAGGACTTGCAGTTTTTAAAGGGGGTTGATATTTATCCCTCAGGTTTAAGGTAGAAAGGGAAGTGGGAACACAGCTGGATCATGCCCTGTGTCTGTGAGATGAAAAGCAATAATCTCAGGAGGACAACTCTTCTGTCCTCTAGTATCCAAAAGAAGTGTTTCTACAGCTTCTAAATAAAGGAGCTTCTGTGGGATGAAATGTAGTGTGAAGAGCATTCTCAACTCATTTCCAGGTTTGTCCTGACTATTTAATCGTGTTCACTTGAGGAAAAGCCAAGATTCTGTAAGGACCAAGGGGTGTTTGATGATGTTTATCTCTCAACCTGTCGCCTGACTCAGGAATAAAATGCTCTCAAGCAGATAAACCATGTCTCCTGGAGATGATTCTCCATGTTCAGTTTTGTTTCGTTTTTTTAAAATCAGCTCGCATTGCCCCCTCATATATGCAGGCTAATGCCTCTGTGTGGACATCCTTTGTTGGCAACGAGGGGCAGATCCAGACTATTAAATAATCAAATAAGCAGAATACAGGGTTGACCCCTTCTAGGGAAGTTACATTTTTAACCCCATCTTCATTTGTGTAAGGACATGGCATACCAGAGTAGAGACATCTACCATTGGTTAGGCTGCTAATCATAAGTCATGGTATTTAAATGAAATTTAATGAATTTTCTTTCAATTAAATTGATTAGATTTGAATCAAATTGATCATTAAAGAAGCTATAATTTAGTAATTTTATATAAGCACATTTTTCATTAAAATGTAAAAGTTTTGAGAGACAACTTAGTTCATTTTCAGAAGGTATATTTTCTGCATTTTGAAGGGTATTTGATTTATTTTCCATTCCTAGCAGAGTGGCATATCCTACCCTTTTTCTTCCTGTCCTCTCTACAAATGTAAACCTCATCCAGGTGTGTCTTGTTTTGTAAGTCACTGACTTATTTGTGATGATAAAGAGATTATTTTTGAAGCATATTTGGAATTGTGGAGCACCCAGAAATTTTTGTGAGGTTTTTGTCTTTTTTTTTTTAAATGGAGCATTTAAATTTTTGTCAGGAATGTTCTTTCTCCCACTCTACTTCAGACAGTAATGTTTTTTAAAACCAGTCTAGTTTCTTAGACTTCTAGTTGTATGGCTTCACCAACTCGAAGGACGTGAGTTTGAGTAAGCTCTGGGAGTTGGTGATGGACAGGGAAGCCTGGCGTGCTGCAGTCCATGGCGCGGCAAAGAGTCGGACATGACTGAGCAGTTGAACTGAACTAAACTGAGTTTCTTAATCCTTAGGAAAGGTGGGTGGAGGAGTTGGCAGTTTGAGATGTGCTCTTGAGAGCTCTCTCTGGGTCCCTCCGAAAACACCCGTCCTGGTGATGAAGAGGACTGTCTGTGGGGCAGGGCTGACAGAGGCAGTTCTGAAAGCTCCCCAGCTCTGGGAGGAGGGGTGGGAGGCAAGTGCCCTGGTAGTTCTTGTGAGGGGTCCACACTCCGAGGACACTGGAGCCCGGCGGGTTTCTCCCCCACCTGCCCACAGGCTCCTGACGGCCCGGTGCTCAGAGGCCCTTCACCGGGCACAGCCCAGCCTGTGTCGTCCCTTGTGGGCAGCCCTTTGTGAGTTTTCATGCTTCCTTTTACTCTTTTGCTTCCCCTCCTTCTTTTTCCTTCTTATTCTGTTTTCCTTCTCCTCGACGTTTGTTTTTCTTTCTTCTATTGATTATTCTCACTTGTTTCCCCCTTACTTTGTAGTTATTCTGTACATTTCTTTCACCTTAAAATCTTGACCCTCTAGAACTTCTGTGCTCCAGCTTATGATCTGGAAGAGAATATTTTGACATATAAATTTCTCCTAGGTGTCATAACTCACTGATTCAAGGAAGTAGTTCAAGAGGTGAGGGTGAGAGGATGAACTCAATTCAGATCAAAGTTTAGATGTAGGTGTTCAAAACAGTGGAATATTGGATAACACTCTCTAGTTCTTTGTTTTGGTGAAGTGGTGACATTCTTTTTACCATCAGAATCCAGAGGTTTGCTTTTTGGAGCAGGTTGCGTGGCCTAGGACTATTTTTTTAAAAAAAACAACTGGGAAAACATTGTATGTGTCTCTAAGGGGAAGGGCTGTTTGTGACACCTCCCCCCCCGACCCCCGCAGACTCTGTGGGCTCTGCCTGCATCGCCTGCATAGACAGACAAGGAAGAGAAAATGTCCTCATTTCTACAAAGCCCCAGGGTCTTGTCTTAAGTCTGTGGTGTTTTAGAGGATTTGAAGGTGACTAAAACCTGCAGAAAACAGAAGTGTTCCAGAGCCTGGATTTGCTTTACTATTACCTGTCCTCGCTTTGATGTTAAAGATCTTTCTTCAAAAATGGCCAGCTCCTGTGTTGAATTCAAAATAGAGATCTGTCAGTATAAGAGACAAATCTTTTGGTTAACTTAGTGAAATATAGTATTTGGGAAAACCCTTGTGTGTTAAAGCTGCTTGTTAGTGTTGTTGCCACAGTGATACCTGTTGGTGAGTGAGTATGCCATGCTGTTCTCAGTGATTTTGTTCTGAAAGATGTACCCTGAGTTTAGGTGCAGGCCTAGCAACCGCATGGCCAACTGTGCCCTGCCCAGCGCCCACTCTCCTGGGGCTCCCACTTTGCTTCCATGGTTTCATCATTCTTTGGTCTCACCTTTCATCCCCTCCCACAACACTCAACAAATATTTTACACATCTACTGTGTGTCAGGCCCTGTTCTAGGTGCTGGGGAGTCAGTAAGGCAAAGAGTCTACAAAGTATCTGTCTTTGATCTAGTCAGGTAAGATAGAGAAATAAGTTGGCAAACAAGTGAATTCTATAGCATTTTGTTTGAGGATCGACTTTGTGGAGAGAGCAACAGGGAATGGGGTGCTCCATGGAACAGGGAGAGGGAGGGTCTGTGTGCCGACATCCCCACGCACCAGATCCCCTGGAGGGAGCAGGACTGTGTGCACAGGGCGGCAGGAAGGCTGGTGTGGCCAGAGGCTGCTTAGCAGGTGGGGATGGTGCAGAGGTTGGGGTGGCGGGAGAAAGAAGGCCAAAGGAGGCTCGTGGGGCCCAGGTTGAGACCTTGCTTTAATCCAAGTGAAATGAACTTTCAATGTAGTTTAACAACATGTTGTATGATTTAACCCATGAATGCCTTTTGCTTTTTCTGTGCACTGTTACATACATGAACTAAAATGCTGCTAAATTAGAAAAGTCTGAGGTATCCCCCAGAGTGTTGTCAGGCATCTGGTCCGTGTGCCCGTCTGGGATGGGGAGCAATGGGACAGTGGGGAGACAGACTCATCTTTGTCTGCCTACTAGGTGTGTCTGGGCCTCAGTTCCTCACCGCAATGCAAGGATGGACAGGAGAAGTTGTTCTCAGACTCCAATCCACGATCGCTGGCAGTTCCTGGAGGCTCTCTTATGTCTTTATTTTTGTAACTGCCATGTGAGCTTCATAGAAAGCATCCCCTAGCTTAAAAAACACAAGGAAACGTAGCCTTGGTTATCCCTTAGGTTTTCTAGAGTGAAGAAGCTGCAGTCCCCTAGATTCTGTCTCAGATGACCATATCAGTGCCTCTTAGCAAGGGCACATCATCTCTTGTTGAAAGTGCAAGGTCAACTGTCAACAGTCAGATAAGGTGCCCAGGACCCTGTCCTTCCAGGCTAGGGAGTTGGCTTCCATCACTGTACAGACTTAAGAGAATAATATGAGCAGTGACTGTCTTAGCAGATACTTCCTGGCACAAAATAGAAACTAGCTATTGAGATAAGTAATCATGACTGATGTGTAAAGAAGGGCATAGTGCTGATCTAATTTTAAAGATACCTAATGACATAAGCATGTCCTTTTGTGTGTTACATGTACTGAAAAGTGGTCATGTCCTTATAGCACGGAAGTATAGCTGAAAAGTAGCCTGGGTGTTTGGGTGCTTATTGTGGTTGAAGGTATATTGTAGTTTCATTTTCTGGTCAAAGAAATGGGAAAATCTGCTCTTTAACATATTGCCTGTCTTCTTCCTTTTCAACCCAGACTCTCAATCTGCTGTTTTAGAAACTCCGAAAAAATGTTCAGATGCTGCTCAGCAGGTAAGAAGACTTAATTAGGCTGTGGGATCCTTTTCTCTCATGTTTGTCTGCCTTATCTTCCATTTGCCCAGCCAGCTAGGCCACCCGTGTTTCTCAGCCTGCAGGGGACTTCAGGCAGGTGGGTGGGTGTTTTCTTCCATTCAGACTTGGCCAAGGAAATCAGCCTTGAAGTGGCTCTGGGCACAAGCTCCTCAGAACCCATATCATTCCACATCCGGCCAGAGAGCTGGGCCACAACTGCTGGCTCCACTAGGAAACAGTGACCATTCAGGTGTCATGTGGAAATGTGCCTGGTTGAACTAATAGTCATATGGATATGATTTTTTTTTTAAATGCCCAGAGCTTTTCGAAAATCAAATTATATTCTCAAGTTGATTTGGTGAATGAAACATTAGTGTCTGTTTAATTTACATAGAAACTTTCTTATTCTGTTACTAAAGAAGTCAAATCTAACCTCTTCTTTTTCTTACACCAAAATGCACTTCCTGCAAAAATAAGAAACATTTGTATGGAATAGTAATTGTGGTTAGCAGTTGTTCTTTTGGATGTAAAATCATTTTTAAAATTTGTTTATATATTCTTCCAACTATTATTTGAAAATAACTTAGTATTAGAAATTGCAAGCATGAAGCATGTTCTCTGGAGGGGGGTCTAAGTAGAAAATGAGATGGCTCCTCAGGTTCCAGGCCCATGCCAATTTCTGGTTAGTGATGGCATACTATCTGGGATGTGGTGTTCTTCTCTGTAAAAATCAAAGAATCTTATGATTTTTGAGAACTTTTCCAAGTATAAAATGACTCCCCTTATCAAAAGAAGCAGCCCTGCAGCGTAAGTGGAAGTATGCTCCTCCTGGAGGAGAAATGTAGATATAAATTGGTTGAGAATTTCATTTTATAAATCCTTTGGTGCTTTTCAGAAATATAGCTAGACAGGTCACTATGATAAGAGTAAAGATACTCTTAAGAATAATGTCATAAAACAGGTTTTCCCAGCTTCTTTTTTTTTTTTTTTTTAAAGAGCAGAGACCTCTGTTAGACTAGGGTACTTGGAGAGGTCTGGTGGACTCAGCTGGAAGTTCATTACCTTGTAGTTGTTCAGTCACTAAGTCGTGTCCAACTCTTTGTGACCCCATGGACTGCAGCACGCCAGGCTTCCCTGTCCTCCTCTATCTCCTGGAGTTTGCTCAAAGTCATGTCCATTGAGTCAGTGATGCTATCTAATTGTAGTGATTAGCCAAGCATGAATACAGTGAAGAGAAATAAAAAGAAATAATCAGAAAAATTTGTGCCCTCAAAATATCTCATTATTCTTGCAGCAGTTTTTTTGTCATGACTAAGTTGTAATTTGAGATAATATGTTAGATTTTTCTAGTTCTTATCTCCAGAGTTTATATTATTGAATTCTCTGTTACATTGATAATCCCCAAGAAAACCTGAACAAAAAAGTATCTGTCAACACATACAACATTGCTCTGTGTATTAAGATTTCATATGGAATAATATAAGGTAGATATTCATCTGTATGTATAAAATTATAGTGATTTTCCAGTTTTCTTGAGCTTTGAACCAATAGTATGTGGAAAACCTGATGAACTGGATAATTTTAAAACACCTGATGTTATAGCCTGGGAACTCATAAGCAAAACAGACTAATTTAAATTTCATACCTTCTCATTTCCTTGTTGCCAGTGAAGTATCTAGAAACTAGAAAATGCAATAAATTAATTGGGAGACGGTTGAGGTCAAGCACTCAGTAGTGACATCATTTACTCTTGGAGTCATTGGCTCTTTGTCATTAGTTTACTTGAGGACGGGTTCTTTTCTGAGATGGTATGTGTCTGTTTCATAAAGCCTGCAATAACGGCCATAAGAAGGATGTGGGAAACTAGAACCTGTGCACTGTGCACCTGTTATTTTACTGTACTATTTTAGGCAATTCTCATAATGACCCTTTAAAGTCATTTTTATTAATTCATATTTAACTTACGGGAAAGTGACATTTGTAGAAATTAACTTGCTTTAGATCAAAAATTGATAAAGGGTAAGAGTCATGATTTGAACAAGAGGTCTGACTTTGTACCTCATGTTCTCTCTACTATGATAAAATCTAGACTTTTACACATGTAATTTTCCTATGGCTATTTAATACCATCTCATGCCAAAATCATCCAATGATGAGGTGAGAAATTTAAGTTATCCTATTTATACCATACATAAGTCTGATGTCAAGATTTGTTTTAGAAGCTTCCATTGAAACTGAGTGGATCAAAGATACATATTTAACTTTGTGCTAAACTGTGTCAATTTCTCAAACTTTAGTGCTTCACTACTTTTGAAAAATGAGCAGTTCTTTCGTGTAACATGCCTTGCTTCTAGTTACTAGACAGCAGTCTGTCTGTCTGTCAGCTGCCCTTGCAGAGGAAGTGAGAGGCTTCTGGCTGGTTTGCTCTGTGACTGATGGACATGATGAGTGCAGAGGGTTGGTCCCTCCGTGGAGGTGATGTGGCTGATGCGTTCACTCTGTTTTCTTCAGGCACCTGTTCTCTCCATTCACGTGCTCTGGAGTACACCGAATTGGCTTTGACTTTTGCTCTCTCCCTGTACTTAATAACTCTGAGAACTCCATGTCCCTAAACAAGGCCCGTGATTCCCAATGCCTCTTCTTAGCTGGGAGGGTGGAAGGTGCACACGGAGAGAGACCCGCTGCTACCCTCCACTGCTGTCACCCAAGGCCCATGGGTGAGAAAGTTTTAAAACGAAACTGCTTTCTTTAGACCTCACTTATTGATTATTTTAATTCAAATAATATGATTTGAGGGGCTTCCCTTGTAGCTCAGTCTCCTGCCTGCAATGCAGGAGACCTGGGTTCGACTCCTGGGTTGGGAAGATCCGCTGGAGGATGAAATGGCAACCCACTCCAGTATCCTTGCCTGGAGAATCCCATGGAGAGATGAGCCTGGTGGGCTACAGTCCATGGGGTGGCAAGAGTCTAACATGATTTAGTGACTAAACCACCAGTATGATTTGAAAGCTGCCCTAGCTAAAGGGTTATTTCATAAGACAGAAACAGGACTGTCTGTATTCTGTATTTTTTTATTCTTTGGCATTTGAAATACTATTTAAACTGTAAATTAATTTACATGCTACAATATGTAAATAGCCAAATGTCAATTATAGTCTCTAAAAATGTTTATTCCTATGTTAAAGATTAATTTATGGTAGTTAAATTGGTTACTGCCCAGTTTTTAATTTATTTTTTGCTTTTGAAGTTACATAAGAAATATGTGCTTCAAAGTATTGTCCTAAGACTCTAAACATATTTCTGATGTAAATGGACTAGCTGAAAGGTAAATAGAATTAAATTTGACCTTTGAAAATTCTAGCTTTGTATAAGAATTGATTAACATCAGGAAATTGAAAGTTGAGTCTTCCTACACATTACAGTATTTATTGAGAATAGTCACATCTGTTACAGAGTGTTAGATAATGAAAAAATTAAAATTAGTACTCCCTTTGGAGAAGGCAATGGCACCCCAATCCAGTACTCTTGCCTGGAAAATCCCATGGACGGAGGAGCCTGGTAGGCTGCAGTCCATCAGGTCGCTGCGAGTCGGACATGACTGAGCGGCTTCACTTTCACACATTGGAGAAGGAAATGGCAACCCACTCAAGTGTTCTTGCCTTGAGAATCCCAGGGACGGGGGAGCCTGGTGGGCTGCCGTCTATGGGGTCGCACAGGGTCAGACAAGACTGAAGTGACTTAGCAGCAGCAGCAGCAGCAGTGCTCTCTTACCCTTTACATTGTATGCAAGTAAATTCTCAAAGGTCAGGAAAATGTGTGTGATTTGAACTCCATCCAGTTTTAATCTCCTTTGAAATTGGCTTAAAACTTTCCCCCCAGGATCCTGCTCTGATCAGTCCTCTCAGTGCCTAACTGGATTGCAAACTTAATTGAGGAACTGAGTATTCTTTTCTATTGGTTCTCCTTTCAGAATATCCTTTATAGTGCTGTTTATACAATGACTACTCCATACAGTTTATTGTTAGTTTCAGATACATCTTTATTTCGAGGCACATCCAGGGAACACGTGTGGTGAAGTAATGTAGCCTGGTCGATGGTGCTTGAGGAGTTACTCACCTGTGTCATGACATAGACAAGTTCAGAGAGTAATAAAAAGAATTGGTCAGATCAAAGAAAGGGATAGGGAATGTAATTTTGAAAGAATAGTGATGGAGACATGAAAACAAGCAACTTGAATTGCATGAGAGTGACTTAGACATATTAAAGAGTTGGCGGGGGGGAAGTACATTCCTTCTAAACTCTAAGGCAATAAGTGACATGAAGTTACATGTTAATTGCAGACCTACAAAACAACAATTTACAAGACAAGTAAACAACCACAGTAGAAACCAGAGTAAGAAAAAGAGGGGTTAAAGGGGAGACAGAAAAAGGTGGTTGCGGTCTGGAAACATAGGTTAGTCAGTCTTCCTTGAAGTTTACCTCAGACTGTGAATGTTCTTAGGTGGATTATCAACACATTGGTGCAGTGACTCAGGGCGGGGGGTGGGAGGTTGGGTAGGGGTAGTGGGAAGGGGGAGACACAGTCATCCCCCTGTGGAAGCATGGAAAATGGGTGCTGTTTTGGCAAGGTATTCCCCATTATGTGTTAAGGGGAAGACAGAATTCTTCTGGAAAGTACATTTTCATTTTATGGAAACTCCCCCTAGCTCAGAGGGAACAAATTAGACATTTTAGTTTTAGAAATTAAAAAAAGGAGAAACTATGCTGACAGTTTTAAGAGTGAAAACCAGCAGGCATCTGGAAAGCAGTTACAATTCGAGGTGTGAATGCAAAAAAAGCCATAGAGGTCACACACCTCTATGTTTCTACTCTTCTCTTGGAGGCTTCCCATGTAGCTCAGTCAGTAAAGCATCTGCCTGCAATGCGGGAGGCCTGGGTTCAGTTCCTGAGTTGGAAGCTTCCCTGGAGAAGAAATGGCA